TGTGTGTGTGTGTGTGTGTGTGTGTGTGTGTGTGTGTGTGTGTGTGTGTAGATAGTTTGGCAAAGCCAAAAACTATCCCGGGAGCGAGAGCTTATTCAAGTGCTCAGACCTATCCCTTTAGTTCACAGCCATTGCTGTCTATCTGGCAGCAGCCCACAAGTAGGTGAGAGTTAAAGTCTTTCTTTTTTTTTTTAAATCTTCCAACCTTGCCTCCTGATTTATTGACCTGCAGTTAATAGGACTGAGGTGGGAGGAATTACATCATTTTTAAGTATTACAATTTATATTGTGTGGGTCAACCAGGTAAGATTTCTTACCCACACCACCCTCCTGGAACTCAACTCTTGACTGTCTCTGATGATCTCAAGAACAGTAAGATTAATTTCCCTCAACTTTTTTATACTGTAGGAGGCCTAGGGATAGTTAAACTGTTTAAAGGATAACCTGATTGTTGGTAGTTATTTTTCTCAGTTTTGAATCAGTGTGTGCAGAGGTATAATTCTATAGTTTGTAGGGGTTCAATCAGAGTCTGAGGGGAGGAAGGGAAAGCAAATCAGAAGTTGGAGACCATTTACACTGACACAGTGTGAACACGAAATTCAATTAGAGAGTGAGGAGAAGTTTCTAAAAGTTCTCTGAGGAGTAGAAAAGTTTATAAAAGGCAACATTTGATTCCCTAAAAGCTAACGGTGGGATCTTCCAGACATGATTTCCCCATTATGCTCTTTCTTTTCTAAACAGGGAAGATTCCCCCACATTAGAGCATAAACCCAACTAGGAGAACCTTTGAATTATGTGGAATTCTTTTGTATGACTTTTACCTGAAATCAGACCAAGCTAGGGGAGTGTTTCAAACTGGAAAACAATTTTTAAAGTAAGTAAAGGCCTCATTTATCAAATATATAAAGAGCTGAGTCAAATATATAAGAATACAAGTCATTTTCCAATTGATAAATGGTCGTGTATAAGATTATGTCCTTATAGCTTCACACTCTTTCTTTCTAAATAAGCCTTCCCTCTCCCCTGTTGGGAGGATAAAATATATCCTCAAAGGGGGAAACTATTAAGATGTGGGAAAGCTCTAATTCTTAATCAAGTAGCAAATCTTACTTTGAGAAAGGCAACAAGATCAGACTCTTACTTCTTGGGAGCTAGAATATGTATGGTTGGCTTCTAAATGTTTTCCAGTGGTAAAGAATAGATTTAAAGGACTCGCTATAGCTTAAATTGCATTGGTAGCCTTAGAACATCTGCTATTGTGTTAATTAAAAAAATAACAAAAGGTCAAGTAAGGATGATCATTTTAAATGATATATTTTAAATTTTATGCTGGAGATAATAGAGAACAAGACTGAAAAAAGTAAAGCAAGGTGTCTAACCCCCTCCAGAAGGTCCATTTGAATATCCACAGATACCTATTCATACCAATGCCTAAATACCCAAGCTTTGAATATGTTTTAGTAGTTGTCTATAAATTCTCAGGTTGGATTGAGACTTCCATATATATGATTTAATAGTCGTCAAAGAAACTTGTGAATTATGTTTTTCTTGCTTGAGATCTCTCTCTCTCTCTCTCTCTCTCTCTCTCTCTCTCTCTCTCTCTCATAAAATCAAGAGAAAGGACTCATTTTACCAGTCAGGTCACCAAACATCCTTTTAAGATTCTTCCTCCAACCCATAAACTACATTGTCCATGTCACCTACAGGGCTTGCAAAAGGTAGAAAGAAAAATTGGTATGTGAATATTGAAATTCTCCAAACTTTCAGATGAGTTGCGGGTCACCTAGTGTGACCTTCTTCCTATGACCCTGATGTTTGTGGTGTTAACTCCATAAGGTTTGCACTGACTTTTACCTCACGGACTAATTACTAGAAGGCCAGTGTAGTTGGATTTTGTCAGGCCCTACTAAATGATCCTGTCTTATCACTAGCAGGTTTGAGCAACATTACCTAGGGAGCCTCCACAAGTGGCAATCCATCACTACTTCCCTAGAAACAACGTGGAAAGTTCCATCTCAAAGTAAGCAGGCCAAGCTGGACAATTTAGGGACAGCGGTCTGGGACAGACCCCTTTTCATACAGAATTTCCAAGGGAAAATGCTTCCTGAAGTAGATAACTTCATGAAGTAGACAGTTAAACCCAAGAAGGAACAAGATGCCTGTTATCTAAATAGCCGTGAAGGTGTATTCTTCTTTCCTTACTTACTCTTTCATTATTATTACTCTTTCATTTCTTCCGTTACACTTTCCTTACATACTTTTAATTGTAGAGTTATGTTTATTGTCTATTGTTTCTTAGTGCATCCTAACCCTTTTAGAAGGTTAAGACCTAGGTGCCAGATTTAAGATAAAAACTAGAAGTTTGAACCCAGGTCCTCTACATTCCAGTTCTTTGTAATATTATTGGTAATAATGTATCATAGAAAGATGTTATTCTCACGGGTCTGTGTCCCCACAATTTTGCTAAATAGTTACTACTATTCAAAACAGTAGCTCCAAAGAACTAAGTTCAGGAAATTATCATGATCCTCCATTCTTTTTTTTCTTAATTTATTTTGATCTATCAATAATCACTTCCATATGCTTTTGAGTTTAAAATTTTTCTCCCCCTTCCTCCCCACCACCCTCCCCAAGACCCTGCACAATCTGATATAGGCTATACATTTACATTCTTATTAAGCATATTTTCACATTAGTGATGTTGTAAGTAAAAATTAAAACCAATAGGAGGAACCATCAGAAAGAGAAAACAGAACTCAACAGAAGAGAAACAAAATAGCAATTCAACTTCCATAGTTCTTTCTTTGGATGTGGATAGCATTTTCCATCACGAGGCCTCTGGAGATGTCTTAGATCCTTGTATTGCCAGGAAGGGTTAAGTTATGATCCTCCATTCTTGCTAAGAGGTTTTGTTGAAGCTACTTTTAAAATTCCTTCTCAGTTTATCTCGGTACGCTTGATGATTGCTGTCTAGTTTTCAAGAGAATGTTAGGGATTTTGCATGACTGTACTCCAAGTATTTTTTTGTTTCATCATTTCCATAACTCTCTTTGGACTAGGCCTCCAACTTTGCTGTGCAAACAACTGCCTTGTTATACTCTGAACCTATGTATCAAGTGCCCCAGGTTTGATAATACTTCTTAGGAAGTATCAAATTGGGGAATGTGGAGGAGATGGATAAACCTGTGAGTCTGGGGGAAATATCTACTCACTAGAAAAAGAAATTCTAGAGGCTGAAGAAACAGGGCTATAGTACTGTGTAAATCAAGACCCTCAGGATGGAAAGAACAGGCTAAATCTAACAGATTCTATCTTGGAGGGGGCCTCACTACCTTAGAGATTTCTTGTCTGAATATTATATTCCGATAAGATTTTTATCGTTGTTGAGTTGTGTCCAACTCTCCATGATGCCATGTGAGGTTTTCTTGGCAAAGATACTGGAGTGGTTTGGCATTTCCTTCTCCAACTCATTTTACAGATGAGAAAACTGAGGCAAACAAGCTTAAGTGACTTGCCCAGGGTCACACAGCTAGTAAGTGTCTGAAGCCAAATTTGCACTCAGGTCTTCCTGACTCTAGGGCCGGGGCTTTATCCACTGTACCACCTAGCTGCCCCTCTGATAAGATTATTCACAGAGAAAATATTATCCCACAGGAACAAACCCCATCTTTGGCAACTCCTTAGATCCCAAGATTAATGCATTCTCCTTATTTCCATTTTGCCATGGAATGCAACTGATTGGATGTGTGCATCTACCTTCGTTTGGGGCCATTGCTATCCACATGGCAGCAATCCACCAGCTGGTGGTGATTAAGACTTTTTTATTTTTTTTTTTACTCTCCCAGTCTTGCCTCTTGATTTATTGACCTCCAGTCAAAAGGTGGGAGGAATTCCCCAAAACACCCCACTCCCAGGGGTTATAGTGACTTGTAGCAACATATTACAGTGGAAGCTATGTGCCTGTCCAGGTGAACCTGAGACAGTAGTTCCCGCATTTCCCAATTCCTGGCTGCCACCTCCCTCTCTGTTTCCTTTTCCAGGCACTGGTCAGCAACTATTATTGGTGTCCAGGTCTTCCAGTTCTTGTCTCAGTCCAGTGATCTCTTCATTATATCAAACTCTTGCCTACCCCCAGAGCAAGATCTAGATTTAGATTATTGTTGGGTAAGAGACAGCCTGGGGGTGGATAATGATTAAGAATCAAAAAAACAAAACAAACAAACAAAAAACCCAGTAATAATGAATATAGCACTTTAAGGTTTGCAAAATGCTTTATATCTATTATCTCATTTTATCTACACAACTCTGGGAGGTAGATGATATTATTATTTCCACTTTATAGAAAAGGAAACTGAGACTAAGTGACTTTACCAGGGTCACACAGTTAATGAAGGTTGGAAGTAGAACTTAAACCCAGCATATGAATGTAATGGAATACTATTGTGCTATAAGAAATGATGAACAGGCTGACTTCAGAAAAACCTGGAAAGCTTTGTATGGTGTGATGCTGAGTGAAGTGAGCAGAACCAAGAGAACGTTGTACACAATAACAGCCACGTTGTGAGATGACTAATATTGATAAACTTAACTCTTCCCAGCAATACAAGGATCTAAGACATCTCCAGAGGCCTCATGATGGAAAATGCAATCCACATGCAAAGAAAGAACTATGGAGTTTGAATGCAGATCGAAGCATACTATTTGCTATTTTTTTTCTTCTGTTGAGTTTTGTTTCCTCTTTCTGGTGGTTCCTCCTATTGGTTTTAATTTTTACTTGAAACATCACTAATGTGAAAATATGTTTAATATGAATGTAAATGTATAGCCTATATCAGATTGTGCGCCGTCTTGGGGAGGGTGATGGGGAGGAAGGGGGAGAAAAATTTTAAACTCAAAAGCATATGGAAGTGATTATTGATAAATCAAAATAAATTAATAAAAAAAGTTCCAGAAAAGGAGAAAAAAAAAAGGATTTTGAACCCAGGTTATCCTAACACTAAATGCAGCACTCTACCCATTCAATCACCTGATTGTTTGTTTCGTATCTCTTTCTTCTTATTTCTTTTCCTTATTTGCCTCTTTCTTCATTTATTCCCTACCTACCTCTCCCCAGTTATTTTTTTCCCTCCTCTTCGCCCCTCTGCCTTTTTCTTGCTCATTCATCTTTCCCCTTGTCTCTCCCCCTCCCAGCTCCCTGTATTAGAATACAGCCCAGAGCTCCATGAAGAATTTATGACTAAAAGAATCCTTTGGATAAGGCCAGAAGCTGACCCCCTCCCCCTCACTTCCTCAGGCCCCAGCTGCTCATAAATTCATAGACAAAGAGCTAGAAGGGACCTTTGAACTCATCTAATCCAATCCCCTCATTTTACAGATAAAGAAACTGAGGCAACAAAGAAGTTAAGTGACTTGTGCAAGCTCATACAGGTAGCATCAGAAACAGGATTCAAATGCAGGGTGGTCTTTGTCTCCTTCTGCAGGGTGAAGAGGGACACAGCAGAGCGTAAGATTGGGGGGGGGGGAGTGGGGTCAGCTCTCCCACCAACAGAGGTTCAGGGGGTTGAGTAGCCAGTCAGTGACTTACAGATCAAAAAAGTCACTTGATCGTCCACACTTAAGAAATGTTGGCTGAAACAAGGGGAAAGGACCACCCTTCAAATCACGTCCTGGGGATTATTGCTGAGGTATTATATATTATTATATTATATCCTGAGTTTTTGCTGGCCCCTAGCAACAGTCCCATCCAGCCTCCTACTGCTAGGTCCAGTATCTCATGCATTCCTCTGGAAAGTTCTCCGAGACACTAAGGATGCGACTCCTGCTCTCTGAAAGAGGGCTTTAACTCTGTTTTGCAAACACAGGGTTCCCCCAAAGTTTTGCTCTACCTTTGAAGTTTTAATAGCTTTAGCAATAAAGGAGCTCAAAGGCACTAAGACTTTTGGGACACCCTGGCTGTTTCTCCTTCTGAGATTTCCTCCGCTGGCCTGGGCGGGGGGAGGGGGGGCAGAGGGATGTGTGGGTATCTCTCCCCACTAAACAATTATGCATCAAATAAATTACGTCAGTTTAAAATCTAGCAAAAGAAGAAGGAAATGTTGGCTGGATATGAAACTAAATGCTTCAGAAGCCACTGTGAAAGGACCCTACATAGTAGTACTGGACACCTAGAGAGACTTTTGTGCGCCTTTCCCCATCCCCGTTGCCCCCACCAACCCCGCCCACCCCAGGTGTTCAGACTCTGTTACTCCCTCCTCGAACCGTAATGCCTTAAGAATTTGGAAAGACTGTCACCCCGTCTTGGGTCGGGGGGTGCAGGTCAGGACTCTACCGGGAGTTAGCTGTGTCTTCTAAAAAGGGCGCAAGAGACATAGCCAGAACAGTGAATGGGAGTCCTGTGAGGTGGGTCAGGCATTACCATTCCGCCAATATTACACACAGCCTGGGGACGGGGAAGAGATTGGCGGGGCGGGTGGGGGGGGGGGGTTCAGGTTAGGAAGGGCAGTAGAGACGGGGCTGGAGGGAGGGAAACTGAGCTTAGAAAGGAGGAGAGGGCAAGGGTAGCTAAAACGATATCTCCCCCACCCCAGTCTTATCACTTCCCTTGCCCTCTGCCCAGGCTGCTCCCTGCCCGATGGTCCCCAACTCAGGCGCCCAAGTGCCCAGCCCAAACAGCCTGCTTCCAGCTAGCTCATTTTGTCTTTGTATGCCATGCCCAACACCAAAAGTGCCAGGCGCCTAGGAGGTGCTCAGTAAAAACTGGCTGAATTGCATTGAACTGAAATCAGTTGAGCGGGCGCAGGGACTGGAAGGGACCTTTTGGAGTTATGCTGTCCATACTCCAGTCTCTCACAAGTTAGATCCCAGGGCAAAGGTGGAAGTGACCATCCCGGGGATGGAAAGTCCCTCTCGAAGTCTGACCTGCGTCCGTCCTGCTGTAGCTTCTCTATTGGGGCCCCAGCGCCCAGGCACTGTTTCTCCGCCCCCTTCAGACTGAGCCCTGACTCCAGGAAGGGACCCAGGCGTACCAGCTTCCTACCTGCGCTTGGTCCGGCTGGCGGCAGGTGGCGATGACCAGGTCCGGAGAGGGGCTCCGAGCCAGGAACCCCCGCACCAGGCCCAGGCCGATGCCGCGGTTGCAGCCGGTGACGAGAACCGCGCGGCATGTCCCAAGTGCCATGGCCCAAGCGATCAAATATCCGAGCGCGCCAAGGTGCAAACAGGGGCTTGGAGCTGTCCGGGGCTGGAGCCAGAGGGATAAAGGGGGCTAAGCCCTGCCCCAGGCTCCGCCTCTCTCCAAGCCCCTCCTCGAGCCAGAGCCCCCGACCCTCCTCCATCGCACCTTCCTATACCACTACCCCAGTAAAGTCCTGGCCCCATCTTACAAATCCCTTTCTTCTGCAAACCCTTTAGAAGATCAGTCTGGAGTCAGGAGAGCTCCACGACAAGATAGGGGAGTCCATCACCAGACCTGGCGTCAGGTATGGCCAAAGAGCTGCTGACTCCCAGCTGGTTGGATCTAGGGTGTCAGGGGGGAAACTGAGGCCCAGGGATAGAAAGAAGCACCAGTACTCAAGTCTCTTTCGCATACATGGCTGTAAAGCCCCAGGGAGGACTTTCGAGAGCTAGAGAAAGAATTTCCACACCGCTCTTCATATCCCTGCTGAGGGCTGGGGCAGGAAAAAGTCTCCCCTTACCCCTGCCCCTACTTCCTTTCACCTCTTCCCCAAAACTCTGCAAGTTCCAACCGTTGTCTCTGCCCCTCCAGGGCAAGGAGAAGTGATCCCGGTTCTGTAACAGTCCTGTGGGTGTCGGGTACCAGGAAGGGCTGAGCAGCTACAGACCTGGGGTCCTCTGGCTCAGCGCACAGACTTGAGGTTCCAGAATGGGCCCAGAAAAACCTAAGGTTCCCACTAGCGATGAGGGCTGCTCCTCTATTTCCACAGGGCACGTCCTCCATTTCAGGAATTTATTCCTTCCTTGCTTCTGCCTCTCAGCATCCCAAACTTCCTCCACATTACTGCCAACTTCACAGGAGGCTTTCTCTGATTTCCCCAGTTGTCAGGGCTCTCTTCTGGAAATTATGTGGGTATAATTTGTTTTTACTTATCTGGGCACTCATTTCCTTCCCCTCTCCTCACCCCAGGAGGGCAGATACAATTTTATTTTTGGCTTTGTATCTCTGACACCTAGCCCGATCACTTAATACATGTGTGTTAAATTGATTGGGTTGAATAAAGTATCGAGGTAAGGTGTTTTTTTCCCCTCCATTCAGCCTAGGATCTCACACAAAGGCCAAATGCCTTGAAGGAGAGAAACCAGTCTAAGTGCAAATCATCAAGCCAGAAGCCTGCCAATCCTCTAACCAGAGACCTTCCAAGAGCACCTGAAGCCAGCAGCTGCCTTCCCTGGGGAGCAGGAAACCTAGAGTGCTCAGACGGAGAAGTTCTGGCGGGATTGGAAACCTATATCGGTTTTGGTTTGCCAAGCACTTTATCAATATTATCTCCTTTGACCCCCTGGAGGCTTTTGCTCTTCAACTGTTTTTCAGTCGTGTCCAACTCTTTGTGACTCCTTTCGGGATTTTCTTGGCAAAGATTCTGGAGGGGTTTGCCATTTCCTTCTCCAGCTTACTTTACAGATGAGGAAACTGAGGCAAAGTGACTTGCCCAGGGTCACACAGCTAGTCAGTAAAGTAAATCTGAAGCCAGATTTGAACTCAGGGAGATGAGTTTTCCTGACTCCAGTCCTAGCACTATACTGCCACCTAGTGACTGCTAGAGAGAATTAAATAAAAAAAGAATTGGGGATGATTTTGTGATGATCTTAAGGGAGAAAAAAAAAGGAGGGAGGGGAAGAAAACAAGAGGAAAGGAATGAGAAGAAGAGAGTGGAACTTACTATTTCTCATGATGGGGGTACATCTGAAGAAGAGTATACAAACATGGTGGGAGAAGCAGGGGGAGAGGACACCGCATGAAAATCACTCATATCTGAACCAGGCAAAGGACAGACAATTTGGTGCAGGAATACATTTAACAGGTAAATAGATGGAAATGAATGAATGAATGGAAAAATATTTGTTGAGCCCCGCCCTTAGTGAAATGATGACCAGGAAGAAACACTTTAGTCCAGAAGTTTATTAAGGATGGTGAATGGAGCTGTGATATAGGTGATTTAATTGTGATTCATAGTTCCAGAACTGGGGGGTGAGAGGAGGGAAGGAGGAAAAGAACTACACACATAGCATTGAAGCAGAAGTGGCCAGGTTGAGGGGGGCTGTGTGTGAAGTCAAGCATGGCTGGAGCTATCCACAAATAGCGAGGCAGTTGGTAAGGAGGTCACAGAAGAGGTCCCTGGAAAGGACAGGAGTGAAGGAGAAAGGATAAGGAAAGAGGCGCTTAAGGAAGGAACAATCATAAGGAAACACATTTCAACTTCAGAGGATGGATCATAAAAGGGGGGAGGGTTAAAAAGGAAGAAAGAAAGTGATTGGGTCTAGGCCAGAGAAAGAAAGCAGAGAGCTGTCATGGGAAAGCAGATCTACTGATATAATCACATGTTTAGAAAAACTTTTTGACAAAATACGATAATCATTTCTGTTTTTAAAAAAAAAAAACCTGAACATTAGAGACAGCTAGATGGTACAGTGGATAGAGCACCAGCCCTGCAGTCAGGAGGAGCTGAGTTCAAATCCAGCCTCAGACACTTGATACTAGCTTTGTGACCCTGAGCAAATCACTTAACCCCAATTGCCTTGCCCCCCTCAAAAAAAGACATTAAAAAGCATAGGAATAAATGAATTTCCTCTTAATATGATAAGTAGTATCTATTTCAAACCAAAAGTCCACATTATAGATAATGGAAACATACTGAAAGCCTTTCCATGAAGATCAGGGGTAAAATAAGAATGTCTATTTTCAGTACTAGATATAGCAACAAGATAAGGGGGGAAATTGATGAGATCTTGCAAAGAAAAAATAAAATCATTGCTTTTTATAGATGACATGATGGTGTACTTAGAGAACCTGAAATAGTCAACTATAAATTAATTGAAATCATTAGCAAAGTATCAGGACAAAAAAATAAACCCATAAAAATCTTCAACCTTTCTGTGTATTACCAACAAAACTCAGCAAGAAGAAAAAGAAATTCCATTCATAATATGTAAAGGATGTATATTTTTAAAATAAGTTTTTTATTGATATTTTTTGTTTTTTACATCATCATAATTTTTCCCAGTGCTCTTCTCCCTCCCCATCCCAGAGAACCATCTCATATTAACAAATAATATTTTTAAAGACAAAAAAAAGAAGAAGAAAAGGGGAAAAAATCAGCCTCATCAATTAATATAATGAAAAAGTCCCCAAACATATGTAATGCACAATACTCATGGACCTCCCACCTCTGCAAAGGGGTGGGTTGGTATCATCCACTCCTGTTTTGTTTTGTTTTGTTTTTTCTTGAGCCATACTTGTTCTTTATAATTTTGCAACATTCGTTTTTGGTTTTCTGGTGTGTCATTCTTTCCATATACACTGTTGTACTTGCTGTGTATATTGTTTTCTTGGCTTTGCTTACTTCAGTCTGCATCAGTTGATATAGACCTTTCCATACTTTTCTGCGTTCACCACTTACATAATACAGCACAGTAATATTCCATTATATTTATGTACCACAATTTGTCTAGCCATTCCCCAGTCAATGTGCATCTACTTTGTTTAGGATTGTTTGCCATCACTAAAAGTGCTGCTACAAATTTTTTGGTGTATTTTTGAAACTACTATAATACAGTTTGAGAATTTTGGTGTATTTGGGAAACTACAATAAAACAGTTTGAAGTCTAGAAGTGCTTTTCCCTTTTCATCTCTATTTCTTTTCATTATTGCTCTTCATATTCTAGATATTTTGCTTTTCCAAATGAACTTTGTTATTATTTTATCAAAGTCTATAAAGTATCCCTTTCATGGTTTTATTGATTTAGCATTATAAGTTCAAATTAACTTTGGTAGTATTGTTATTTTTATTGTATTGACACAGCCTAGCCATGAGCAATAAATGTTTTAGCTATTTAAATTTTTGTTTATTTCTTTAAGGAGCACTTTGTAACATTCCTTACATAATCTAAGTAAGTCTTTTGTGTACTTTAGTAGATTGATCCCCAGATAGTTTATGTATTCCTTTATCCTTCCTTGGTTTAAGTATTAGGACTACATTTGTCTCATAAAAGGATTCTGGTAGAGTGCTTTCTTTCTCAGTTTTTGAGAATTTGTGTAGTATGGGTACTAATTATTCTTTAGAAGTTTTATAAAAATTCACCTGTGAACCCAACAGAACCAGAAGTTTTTTTCTTTGTTAGGTCCTTTAAAGCTAGTTGTATTTCCTTTTCTGAGGTTGAGTTATTTAAGATCTCTACTTGGTCTTCTGTCAGTTTGTATTTTGTATTTTTAAAAACATTCCTTTATTTCTTTTGTGTTTTTAGTTTTCTTAGCATAAAACCAAACAAAATTGATTCTAATTATTATTTTTATTTCTTCTGATTTTGTTGTGATTTCACTCTGCTTATTTGCTATTTCTTGATTTGATTTTCTGCCATCTTCTTTTTAATCAGATTAGCTAAAGATTTGTGAATTTTATTAGTCTTTTCAAAGAATCACTTTTTAATTTTATTTATCTTTCTATGAGTTTTTTGTTTCCAGTTAATCTATTTCTCTAATTTTTTTTATATTTTCTCTCCTGTGCTTATTTTAGGTTTCTTTGTTGATTGTTTTCTCTGTTTCTAAATGCATATTTATTGCACTGATTCTCTCTTTTTATATTTTATTAATATATGTTTTTAGGGATATGACTTTTTCCCCTGAGCTGTATCCCAGAAGTTTTTGTGTATTGTTTCATCATTATCATTTTCTTTTACATAATTATCATTTCTTTGATTTGTTCTTTGACCTACTCACTATTTAGGATTTCATTGTTGAGTTTCTATTTGGGTCTATGTCTTTTGTGTGTGATCCCTGAACTGCTCTTTTTCTTCCATTGTGGTTTGCAAAGGGCATATTTACTATTTCTCCCTTTTTTACATTTGTTTTCAATATCTCTGTGCCTTAATATATGGTCAATTTCTGTAAAAGTTCTATGTAATCCTGAAAAATACATACATTCTTTTGTAGTTCTGTTTAGAAGA